TATTTCTTGCCATTTTATTACTTGTTTTGTGATTGTTTCTGAAATTTTTCTCTGTTCATTCTCTTTCCTTCTTTCTTTCTTTCATGGTTTGCTGGGTTTCCTTAGTGATACATTTATATTTCTTTCTCTTTTTCTTTGCATACATATTAGTGGTTTTTGATTTGTGGTTACAATTAGATTTGCATATAACATCTCCCATATATAGCAGTCTATATCAAGTTGATGGTCATTTAAGTTTGAACTCATTATTTACTCCTCTCCTTCCCATGTTTGAGATATATGGTGTCATATTTTGCAATCTTTTATTTTGTGATTTCCTTTACTGGTTTTTTACAGAAGTATTAATTTTTATTGCTTTTGTGTTTCCTACCTTCATCTTCTCATTTATAATCCTTCCTTTCCACTCAAAGTGTCCCCTTTAATATTTCTTGCAGGCTGGTTTAATGATCATGAACTCCTTCAGTTTTTGTTTGTCTGAGAAACTTTTTTTTTTAAATTATGTTATGTTAGTTATCTGAGAAACTCTTTATCTCTCCTCCTATTCTGGATGATAGCCTTGCTGTATAGAGTATCTTGGCTGTATATTTTTCCCATTCAGCAATTTGAATGTATCATTTCCCTCTCTCTGGTTTGCAAGGTTTCTGCTGAAATGTTCATTTACAGCCTTATGGGGTTTCCCTTGTATGTAACTTTTGACTTGCTGCCTGTAAAATTTTTCTTCACTAATTTTTGCCATTTTAATTATAATATGTCTTAGTGTGGATATGCTTTTATTGATTTTGTTGGAGCATTGCTGTGTCCCTTGGATCTGGATATCTGTTTCCTTCCTCAGATTAGGGAATTTTTTCATTATTATTTGTGCAAGTAAATTTTCTGCCCACTATTTTTTCTCTTCTTCTGGGATCCCTATAATATGAATGTTATTATGTTTGATGGAGTCTCTCCGTTCCCTAAACCTATTCTCATTTTGCACAATTCTTTTTTCTTTTGTTCAGTTTGATTACTTTTGATTACTCTGTCTTCTAGATCACTAATTTGTTCTGCTTTTTCCAGCCTGCTGTTCATTTTATCAAGTGTGTTTCTCATTTCATTTATTGAACCCTTTATCTCTGTTATGTTATTCCTTATCTGTGTATTAAGGGACTCATTGATGTCTTCCAGTCTTTTCTCAAGTCCAGTGTGTATCTTTATGATCATTACTTTAAATTCTCTGTCAGGCATGTCACTTATATCTGTTTTGCTTGGACCTCTGGTCATGGCCTTATCCAATTCTTGCATTTGGAATAAATTTGTCTGTCTTCTCATTTTGTGTAAGTACTTATGCATGTTCCTGTATGTAAGGAAAGTCAGCTACTTCTCCTGTTCTTGAGGATAATGGCCTTATGAAGAAGAGGTCCTATAATACCCCATAGTATAGTGTCCTCTATTCCCCATGGCCTAGTGCTTCAGGGGATGTCTCCAATTGGTGCTGCATGTGCTCTGCCACTGTATCATGGCTGCTTTATCCTTCAGGCTAGTCATCTGCAAAGGCTCTCTTCACCTGTTGTGGGCAATATTTGGTACCTGGTCTGAGTGTGGCAATTTTTAACTAGGTGTGTTCTGGTCTGCTTGTGCTTCCACCATTGCTGCCAGAACCAAAGCCCTGCAAAACTCCGGTTCGAGGGATGCAATGTGGGCAGGGGTTTGAGCTGGTCTTCTAGGAGAAGGGTCCTGCCACAATGGAACTGAGGCAAGCATGACTGGGAAGGGCAGTTCCACCAGAGTGTGTGTGTGGGGGGAGGTCACGGTTTGGTATAAGCTAGTTTGGTAGCAAGTGTAGGCCTTGGCTGGGTCCCACAAGTGGTCCTGTTCTTAAACTGAGGGGTAGGGGAGAGAAATGGTGCCTGTCATTCGCTTTGTTACCAGTGGGGTCTTTCCCTGAATGCTACCACTCAGTGACATACTCCAAGATGAGCAAATAACCTCCCCATTGTGTATCCCAGGCACTCTTCAGATTGCTGTTTTCAAGTTTTATGCCCGCAGACTGTTTGCCCTGCTTTCTCTCCAAGAGCATCCTTAATGCCCTCTGTGCTTTCCCAGAGCCAATCCTGCTGGCCTTTAAATCTCCAGGCTTTAAGTCTTGGTGGTTGCAAGAACTCACAAAATTCAGCCCCTCTTACTTTCCAAGCCAATTTCCATTGATGCTTGTCTTCTCTATGTGGGCTCCCCTGTGTGCTAGTCTGTGTCACCCTTTTCTGCAACTGCAGCTCCTTCCCCACCATGGTGACAATGATCTGTTTCTCTCCCAAGGTGTGTTTCCACACTTTTTACCTTCTTCGATGTGGGCTCTTCTCTACCTTTAGTTGTGAAGTTTGTTCTGCCATTCTTCAGGTTGGTTTTGGGGTTATTAGGATGATTTGATAGTTATCTAGTTGTATTTGTGGGACAAGGCAAGCCTAGAGTTTTCCTACTCCACCACCATCTTCCCAGATTTCTTTGTTTCTTTTTTATCTTTTTTTTTTTGCTTTTTCCTCATCTTATCTGAGCATTTTTCATGATCTCATTTTATTGCTTGTGTTTACTTATCATTTATATATCTTCGTGCTTTTTTTTTTTTTTTTACTTTTTAGTGGTTCCCCTAGGGTTTACAATGTATGTTTTAAAATAATTTGGGTTCACCTTCAAATAACACTATATTACTTTACATGTAGAACAAATACCTTATAACAGAATATTCCCAGACTCTTCCTCCCTTTCCTTGTCATTGTTTTACTTATTTCATTTTGATATATGCTATGAACACCCAATACATTATTACTATTATTGCTTTAAATGGTCAGTTATCTTTTAGAACAATTAAGAATATGCAAAATAAAAGGTATATTTTGCCTTAATTTATTCCTTTTCCAATGCTTTTCTTTAATGATGTAGATCCAATTTTCTGACCTATATCAGATCTTTTCTGCCTAAATATTGTTCTTTAATATTTCTTATAAGAAAGGTCTGCCTGTGATGAATTTCCTGGTTTTTTTTTTTTTTTTGGTCTGAAATAAAAGTATTTATTTTGCCTTTATTTTTGAAGGACATTTTTGCTGAATTTAGAATTCTGGATTGGCAGGGTTTGTGGGGCTTTTTTGTTGTTGTTGCTGTTGTTGCTTACTTCCAATACTTTAAATTTTTTATTCCACTATCTTTTTTGCTTATGTGGCTTCTGACAAGAAGTCCAGTATAATTCTCCTCCTTGTTCTTCTGTAAGTAAGGTGTTCCTACTACCCCTTTTTCCTGGCCTCCTTCAGTATTTTATTTTTGCCGGATTTTCTGCAGTTTGAATTTGCTATGTCTGGTGTGGTGTGCTTCTTTTTAAAATTTTATTTATCTTGCTTGGTATTCTCTGAGATACTTGAATCTGTGGTTTGGTATCAATAACTAAATTTTGGAAAATTTTGGCAGTTCTTTCTTCAAATATTTCTTCTTTCCCATTATCTCCCTCTTCTCGTTCTGTTATTCTAATTACATATATATTACATTATATATATATATTCTAATTACATATATATGTCTATATATGATATTTCTATGTTACATATATATTACACTCTTTTATACAAAGTTCTTGGATGTTTTGTTCTGGGTTGTTTTGTTTGGTTTGTTTGTTTTTTTACAATTTTTTTTTTCTCTCTGCTTTTTAGGGTGTGTAATTTCTACTGATCTATCTTCAAGTTCATATATTTCTCAGCTATGTTAAGTTCACTTATGAGAACATTGAAGACATTCTTCAGATCAATTACTGTGTTTCTTCTCTTGCATTTATATTTGATTCTTTCTTATACTTTCCATCCCCCTACTGAAATTATCTATCTGATCTTGCATGCTGTCTACCTTTTCAATAAAGCTTTTAACTTATCAATCGTAACTATTTTAAATTCCTTGCCTGATAATTCCAACATGAGTATCATAACTGAGTCTGATCCTAATGATCTGTCTCTTCAGACTATTTTTTTTCTTGCCTTGATTCTTCCCTTTGGACTGCTCTCTGGAGACAATTATCTTTTGCATCCTTTGAAGATGTAGTCTTCTATTATTTTACTTATTTTAGCCTGATAGTAGGGAATAGGGGACTAATGACATTCCATGTTAGTCTGATTAAGCCTCCATCTTAGGCAATCTTATCCTCAATCTTGGAGGTGTGACCTTCCCATGTGTTCCTGATTCTTCTTTAACTATAATGGTGTGCCTAGTGCATATTCCGATGCCTCCTGGGCTACAGCATTTTTCCATTTTCCTTCTCCAGCTGTGTTGAGTTTCTACCAGTGTCCTCACTTTCTGTTGCCCTTCCTTCTTCAGATTAAGGCTTATTTTCTTTAGGGGAGATGGAGTAGATTGGTCTCAGCAGAGTTTCAATAGTGTTGGCCATTCCTCTCTGTCAGCAGCACTTAATTTCCACCAGTGCTCTCAAACTACAGTTGCATTCCCTTTCTCTTTGAAGACTAAGGTTTTTGTTTCATAGAATACAAAGGGAGAATGGCCTGGGCACAATTTCAGCAATGGCTGCTATTCTGTTTTCCTCTCCAAGCCAGAACTACAGGACATCTTTTTCAGGATTCTTCTGTACCTGGTGGAATTCCTGGAGGATGCAAAACCGCCTATGTCTTCAGCCCCAGGGGCTTCACATTCTCATGCTAGCCCACAATGAACCTTTAGCAATTTATTAAAAATTTTTAGCTGAATCCTCTTATGAGTTTATATGTTGTGCAGTAGTATCTATGAAAGATAAGCAAATACCTGGGCCCTATTGCTCCCTGCAGATGACTGCCTGTCTTTATGGATTTGGGGTTAGCTGTTCACACTGTAATCTCAGTTTTCTGATGAATTCAGAAGTCAGTTTGAAAATTTCCAGGTTTTTGTTATTGTCATTGTTATAATAGTAGGGAAGATGTTTTCCCAATTCAACATCTCTGAGCTGATAACAGAAGATGATGGGGACCTGGGGATAAGCCTTTGAGATTTTGTTTATCTTCCAGCATCAATACCCCAGTTTACCAATTCCCCCACAATGGTGATCATGGTGGGTTTACCAGCTCGAGGAAAGACCTACATCTCCACGAAGCTCACAAGATATCTCAACTGGATAGGAACACCGACTAAAGGTATGTCTCTGAAACCCTTTGTTCTATAGCCCCCTACCGGCCACTGGCTGAAGAGTAAGGTAGCAGGCCTCAGAATGCCTCAAAACATTATTACCAATCTTAGGATTACTACTACTACTATTACTACAACAACTACTACTACTACCACCACCACCACACTCTTAAAAGTTTTACAATTTCTTGAGCACATACTCTATGCCTAACTGTATTCTAGGTACTAGGTATAGGAAAACTAGTAAGATTAAATGTCTGTTCTCAAGGACCTCCAGTTTTGCAAGAACTTAACACAATCCTATGAGTAATATACTATTTTTATTACCATTATTATTATTTATTACCATTATTATTATTATAACACCAATAATACTATTTTGATTAGCATTACCATTTATCCAAAACCTTAAGATTTTCTTCAAGCCTTAGGGTATGTAGAATCAAGCATATTGAAGCCACAGCCCAGAGGTTCCCACAGGGTCTTTACTAAAGCTGGGCACCTTCATTCACCTCATCCTCTGGAGTTCAGAAGGTGTCCACTCTCTCCAAGCCTCTCCTCTCTGAGCTTTTTTACTTCCCCTCCCCAGCTGGAAGTGGTCCTGCCTTTTTCCACCTCCAAAAGGGCCTCCTTCCCTGCCTGTCAATCTCCTCCTTCACTCCCTATTTCCAACTTTCCATTCTCCTCAGTGTGGTCTCTTTTCTGCTTACTATCAGTTATTTAGTAATCACTCTCTCCTATTCCCCATTTGATTTTTCTACCCACCCCCACCCTGTATCTCCATTCCTATTTGATGGCTCTGTTCCCCCTAAGAGGACTGTGCTTCTCTGAGCTCCCATATCAACCCTCCCAACAGCCCCCTCTATGCCAACACTAATTACAGAGTGTGCTGTTGTAATGTGTGTCTGGGTATCTTTCCCCAGGAGCTGTTCTGGGGACAGGGGACCAGGTCATATTCCTTTCCTTCTCTCAAGTATGACCAGATTAAGACATTTAGAGGCTCTAAACAGTAAGAAATAGGGTGCCTCCACATCATATACAATTCTGAATAAAAACAGTAATGGTAAGAAAGTCTACCAGTGTTTTTTATTTATCCCCAATGACTATATTGATACTTTCAATGAATATCAACTTATCTAAAAATTATATTGCGACCATGTTCCTCCTTTCCTGGTACACTAAGCAAGTACTTAGACTCTCTTGTGAAATGGAGCACTGCTCCCCATTGCAGCAAACAGTTCTCCTTGGGCATTTATTTATTCAATCATTAATTATTCACTGAGCAGATAGCTGTGTAAAAGCCCTTGTTGGATATTGGGCAAAGACAAGTAGGATAGGATGCCTATCCTCAAAGAACTAACATCTATTCTTAAGTTCTAAAATGCCCATGAAAAAGAATCTAGTATTATCATCATTTTACAGTTGATTAAATTAATGCCCAAGAGGTGAAGTACCTCTAAAGGCACATGGCCACTGAGTGACAGAACCAGGAAATGAGCCCACATCTGGTTGATTCCAAAGCTGACACTCACTGTGCCAGGTCTGCTACTTGGCTCTACTGATGGGAAGAAAAAATAATCCCACCTTGACCCTATACTCACCTTTTCTCCATTATTTTTCTCTCCTTTCTCTTGCCCATCTCAGCATCCTATCTTCCCCCTTCCCTCCCTCTCTTCAACTCTCCTCCTCTCTTTCTCCCATTTCTTCTTTTCCTTCATGCACTTTCTCTAATTCACTGGCAAAGGGTTTTCCAATGGTTTTTTATGTGCCAAAACCCATGCTAGGCATTGAAGATGCAAAAATTAATGAGATTCACACCCTGTCCTTGAAGAGTTTTCTATCTGGCTGGGATGCATACTAACACCTCATGGTCACTTAAGGAATCCTAGATCAGGGTACTGAGGGGGCTCACAGAGGAAATCACCAACTGGAAGGCAGAGAAAGCTTCTAGATAGGGTATATTTGAGCTTGGTCTTGTGGGAGGAGTAGAACATTGGCAGAAGAGGAGAGAAGGAATAGTTCTTGTGGAGGACTCCGGCTCCAAGTAGCTTCTGCTGGGTGTTAGGAGAACATGGGATGGTGATGGATGGGTCTTTGCCCTAATGCACATGCTTTCCATCTGCTCCAGTCCAGTCCATTCTCACAGAGCACAAAGCCTCAGAGTCATGTTTCAAAGCACAAAGCTTACCATACCTACAGCCTCCAAGGATCTTCTTGGTCTGCAGGTTTAAGCCCAAGCTTTTTAGCCTGTTGTTCAAGGCCCTCCACAATCCACCCCAGCCAGTCTCTCAGGCTTCAGTCACAGTGAATGACTCACCATCCCCTAAACATATTCTGCCTTCTGCCAATGTCATACCGTTGCTTATGGTGTTCCTCTACCTGGAATGTCTTTGTTCCCCACTCCCATCCCCCATGCCTGTCTATAAAAGGCCTGCCTTCCTAAAAGGACTGGTTCAAATGCTGCTTTCTCCAAGAAATGATCTTAGATTACCCCAAGTGTAATTAATTTGTCCTTCCCCCTTATTCTTTCGAATGCCTGACAGAGAACTTAACAAACTGTGTGGGAACTCTATATTTACTGGTTTACTCTCTGTCCTACTTGCTGGATTGTGAGCTCCTTGGAACCCCATCATGCATATCTCATCTATCTTTGAGACTTCAGAACTCATGTCCTGCTTTACAGAGTGTGCATCAGAATGTGTTTATTGAATGGATGAATGAAATATTGCATTAGCTTCTTATCTCTTTCTCCTCCTTTCCTTACCTTCTCTCAGGTTTTTCATTATTACTGATGAGAAAGTATGGCTTAGAGAGGGCAATAAATTTAGATTCTCTGTCATGATACAGGAAAATGTAGTAACATGGGACTAGGATTCAGGAGGCCCAGTCTAGTCCTGTTACCTACTGACCACTAAATTACCTGCTGACCTGTTTGATCCTTAGTGATTGATTTTACTCACTGGATCTCTTTCCTTATCTTTCCAATGGAGTAGAGCATTGAAAGGTTAGAGTTTATGATAGAATAGCAGAAAATCCACTAGCTTTGGAGCCAAACAGACCTGGTTTTTAATCCCAGCTTCCCACTTATTAACTATGAAAGTTACTTCCTATCTCTGAACTTCAATTTCTTCATTTGTAAAATGGGATTATAATTTCTATGTTGCAGGGTTGTTGTGAGGAATAAATGAGATGGTAGCCATAATTTGAAGCTTTATAAGCATATTCTATAGCTACAAATTATACCTCCTTCAATCTCTGAAATCCCTCCCAACAATGACATATTTTTCCACTAGAATCTTTCCAACCCCTTCACCAGGTGTCCCTGCTTTCAGTGTTTAATTTAGGCCAGTACCGACGAGAGGCAGTGAGCTACAAGAACTATGAATTTTTTCTTCCAGACAACATGGAGGCCCTACATATCAGGAAGTAAGTGTCTAATATTTTAGAGTTCAGTGCTGCTCCTTGTTGAAGGAGGGCTTTGTTCAGATAATGGGGGTGTGGGGCAGAGTAATTTGGGTTAGCAAGGAGGTTTTCCAGACTCTCAAAGGGTGGCTGGAAAAGCCCTTCCCCTAGTTTACCCAAAGTCTGTTTCTGGTCATAACCATCCCCTACTTAAGAACTTAGGAACTAATGGTCTCCTACTCCTTACAGGAGAGAGTGGAAAATTTGAGTCTGAGCATTTAAGAGTCTCAATAGCATGGCCCATTCCAGTCTCTCCAGTACCATTTATTCAATCTCAAGTTCTCTCTCCTCTACAAGACACTGAGCACTTCCAGAACAGATCCTAGGTCTCATTTATTGATCCATGCCCTTATAATAGAACCCAGCAAAGAGTAATCACTAAATAGATTTTTGCCAAATGCATAAATATATTGCCACCATCATACCTGTGCTTGTACTGTTACCCATTCCAGGAATGCCTTCTACTTCACACACTATATACTCAAACTCTACCTGGGTTTAAGGACCAGTTCCACTTGAGCTCTATCCCCTCAAAGGTTGTTTTTTAATATTATGTCTCTGTCATTAGTCCACTTTTCCTGGGTATGCCACTTTATGCCTGCCCCTAAAATGTGCACACAGAGCCACTTTCAACTGTGTGACCTGTCTGTGCTTGTCATAGTGCCTAGAACATAGAATACCCTGTGTAAATGTTTCATTGATGAATAATTTAATGTGAGACATCTGAGAGATGGTGCAAAAGACAATGGAGAAAAATAGAGAGGAACTCATCTTGGGGACAAGGATTGTCTGTTTCTTTCTCCATCTTTTTCAGGCAGTGTGCCCTGGCAGCCCTGAAGGATGTCCATGACTATCTCAGCCATGAGGAAGGTCATGTTGCGGTAAAGAAGTTTGCATTTTCCCTCAAGTTTCTGCCAGAATGAAGGACCCCTAATATGTATTGAGCATTTACTATGTTCTACACACTAGTCTAAGTACTTTGCACATATTAATTTAATTCCACCCTCTCCCATAAGACAGGCATTGTTGTTATACTCCATTTTATAGCCCAGAAAAATGGCACAGAGAGATTAAATAATTTCCCAAGGTGGCACAGCATGTATGCAGCAAGGCTAAAACTAGAATTCAGGTTGCATAGGTCCAAAATCTACACTCTTAACTGCTATGCTTTACCACTCCACCCCCAAGAATTCAGTAAGACTTCAGTACACTTTAAGATTACAGTACAACATTTTTGAGTTCTAGAGATTTACCTAAATATCTAGTCAATTTAATCTCATAGACCCTTGGGGTAAAATTTGTGAATTCTAAAAGGGGAAAAGATCCTCAAATGGTCCCACCTGAGGTGCTGAGGATAGGGAGTTGTTTCCTGTTCTTGAAGAGCTCCAAAGTGATAGGGAAGGAAGAATCCTCAACTAGGAATTGAGAAGATCCATTCTAGCTCCGCTCTGTTAGCAACTCTTGGGGCCTTGGTTAAGGCAAATCTTTCCTCTAAGCCTTGGTTGTTTTACCTATAAAATTACCCTAATAAAAATTTACAATTTTCCTCTTGTTTATACCTACAGTCTGCTACATTTCTGGACTGACAACAAGGGCTCAATGAATGCTTAAGAAATTGGAATAAGTCAATTTCAAATCCTTCCTATTCTTCAAAACTCAGTCAAGTTCTATGTCACCCTGGAAGCCCTCCACTTAGCACAAGGATAGTCAAGGCATAGGTGTTCTCTCAAAACCAAATTCAGAGTAAACCAATCTCATCATTGGCCTCTAGGTTTTTGATGCCACCAACACTACCAGAGAACGACGGTCACTAATTCTGCAGTTTGCTAAGGAACATGGTTACAAGGTATAGTAACACTCCCACTCTTATCTAGAGCCTACTTATCTAGTACAAACCCCAAAGAAAGGCAAACCAGAGGACTCTAATCTGTCAAATCAGCTACAAATCAGGCTCAACATTTTAATTTGGTTATATGGCTTTCCAGATCACAGTTAGAAGCAACAAAACAGAACAGGAAAGAGGTGCTATATTAGGCAATGGAAGATAATTGCTGACAGGCTGACACTGTGGGGGGTGGAAATGAGGAAGGAGAGAAGAGAACTACTACAAAAAGCATATATAAGAACTAAAAACCGGTAAAAACATAAAAAAATAATCCAGGGCCATTCAGTTTAGAGTCAATATGCCTCAATAAAACTCAGAATCCTGAAAGTAACACTGTATGAAGTTATGTTGTCAGAGATGCCCCTAGGGATGATTCAGAGCCACTGAGAAGAGGTAAAGCTATGTTTGGCCCTACCAAATACAATTCCCTGCTGGAAATTTCTCTTCTTTTTCTCTTATAGGTCTTTTTCATTGAGTCCATCTGTAATGACCCTGGCATTATTGCAGAAAACATCAGGGTGAGGAGCACTTTACCTTGTCCTCCTTACTTTTCCTCAGGTTTGGATAACACCTAAAAAGACCTCTATGAGGCTATTAAAGGTGGTATTCTTCTCTGAGCTTCTCTTCCTACTTCCTATAGGAAGTATTTCTTGACTGTCCTGGCCTACAAAG